GGCCCCCTCCCGCCGGGACCGGGACCGGGACCGGGACCGAGACCGGGACCGGGATCAGGTCCAGGCTAGAGTCCGAACGCGGCCGCGGCCCCTTCGTTTTCTTTTTCCGGCTCTGTCTTCCGGGATCGCGGCGCGTCGCTTCCGTGTCCCGTTTCTGTGCTTGGGTCTCGCTCTGGTCTTGTGAGAAACCTTCCTCATCTAGAGAAATAATAGGAAATACAGAAGCGAAAGATTTTTTTCGCCTTATGCTTAACCACATGGATACATTAACTTCGGTTTTGCTAACCTGAACTTCCTCATTTTTAGGTTGTTTTCCTTGATCTCCATTTTCTTATTGTTTATTTGATATTTTTTTGTGTGTGTGATTATTCTTTTGAGTTGGGAACCATGTCTGTTTTTTTAATTATTATTATTTCTTGGAACGATGTGCAGATAATTTCAGAATGAAGTTTAGTGTTGTTGTTTTGCCATAGAATTCCAGAGCTTCCCAAATTCATATGACTTCTGTAGATAATTTCTTGTCAATTCTTCTGTTTTGCAGGCTAAAACCATAGCTTTAAAGCAGTATCTGTTTATCTCTCCTCTTTGCTTAAACTGGATGAATCAGTGTGTCATCTTCAGCCCGACATTTCTTTTTATCACTGGTTCTTTTGCCCATTCATTTACAGTGGATCGAAATATTTCTTCCTTGTGGAATTCAGCTATTAATGGGTCTTTGTTTTTGTATTTTCAGTTTTTAAAAGCATTCGACTACTCTCCTTGGAATGGTTACTTGTACAAGCTGGATGTAGGATGGCCTAAAGCTCCAGAATACTTCACTGGGCAACCCGTGTGCGTGGCTGTTGACTCACTTCGTGGTTTGGTCTATGTTGCACAAGTGAGTGAGAAAACTTAGACTTCTCTCCTAGCTGATAGAGTGTCTGCTTACATACATATATATATGTATGTATGTATATATACGTAAGTATTAATGTGTCAAAAATAGAGAGTATGGAAATACAAATCTCACTGCTATATATGTTTTTAAAAGTAGTTCTGGGACCATAGCTCTTTAATGCTTTTGAAAGAATTATATTTTGGTGATGTGGACACATGATGTAACCTAATTGAGGTACAGTAGCTCTCTGTCAGCTGAGAAGCCCGGGCTCTGTCTTTTCTAACCCTAAGGTAAAATTCAGAGAATATGTTTCCGGGACAACTGGCCAGTCTCCTTCCTTTCTTTCAGCCTTTTTTTTTTTTTTTTCCATGAAATCAAAAGCATGCAGCTCTTGCAGGCAGTTATAGGAATTACAGTTTTGTGTGCTGGTACTGTTAGAACATGGGTAAGATGTTTCTGTAGCAAGTGGTGGGTTTTGCTTATCAAGATATCCTAAATACTTAGGATATCATGCAGATAACAAGTACAGTTGCAGTCTTTGTGCATCATGCTTGGTGTATCTTTCAGCAAGGGAATAAAAACAGCATTCAAAGTGAAGAATCAAGATTCAAGCTTCAGGAGCTTGATGGCTTTGGAAGTTGAACTAGCTCTGATTCAAGTGGAAAATCTAGAATGAGCAGAAGGTTCTGCATGCTAAACTTACTCTTCTCTCTCCTTCCCTTTTGAGATGGAAAAAAATTGAGATCCAGCAGTATATAACAATCTCGGCACTCTTTCATGAGTGATAAAACATTACAAAAACCTTTCAAAGAAGAACTTTCAAGAGTATAATTACTTGGTTAATATATTTTAATAGAGCTTTTTCCCCTTGCATTTTCAGAGGGGCGATAACATACCCAAGGTACTTGTGTTCTCAGAAGAAGGCTATTTTCTTTACTCATGGAATGATACAATTGAAATTCCTCACGGTATCTTTGTATTAAGCAATGCAACAGATAGCTCTGTATGGATTACAGATGTTGGAACAGGTATGTATGGTGCAGATGTGAAAAGGCAGGGGAGAAAATGCTAATACTGCAGATACTACTTTAAACAGCTACTTTATTTAAACAGGGCACTCGAGCAGGGCTGAGCCAGATTTGTGCTGCTCTTACCCTGCACAAGCTGCTCAGGTTCTGCACAAAATAATTTGAAGGCTCCTGAGTTACGTTGTGTGTCTGTTAATAGCCTCTCAACATAGCAAGCATAAATTTAGTTGTTTGTCTGGAAGAAGGGACAGTAAAAAAAAATGTGTTTTTTGTTGTTGTTTTGTTTTTTGTTTGTTTGTTTGTTTGGCTAGACTTGTTCTTTGCCATGGGTTTGGTGACCCTGTTACAACAGATAAATACTGTTACAGCCTTTGGATTTACTCACCCACAATCATATTCTTACTATAGAATATTGTCTGTTGAGTTGTTGGTCTCTATCTAAAGTATCGGGACTTTTTATATTTAATCTTTGTAATCTGTTGTATCATTTATTATTTGGCTTTGTTAATGTTAAGAGAGTCTTGTCCTTGTTCCAATTATTTATTTATTTTATTTATTTATTCATTCAGGGAAATATGGGCATACTGTGAAAAAATACAGCCCTTCAGGTAAACTTCTGCAGATCTTGGGCACCCCGGGTAGTGCTGGTTCAAGCTTGTACCCCCTGCAGTTTGATCAGCCGGCCGAGATCTTTGTAGAGGAATCTGGGGATAGCTATGTTGTGGATGGAGACGGAGGGATCAATAATAGATTGCTCAAACTGACCGAAGGTATGGAGCAAGGGAACTTGCACACAGCTGACAACTGTATTTTGACCATTGAACTTTAAATAACACAACTTCAGAAAATTGATAACTGGGACTGGGTGTGGTTCTCATTTAAAATTAGTCTGAAGAGACTAGATTAGAGCCTGGTTTATTACTGGTCGCTTCAGGAGAAATTTTCCTATGGCAAGAGTCTGAGAGAACGGGTTTGTTCAGTCTTGGGAGGGCTAAGAGGAAATGGTGTTGCTATCTTCAAGTTGCTAATGGGAAAGTGTAGAGTAGACCGAGGAGGAGACAGAGCTACACATGGTGAAGAACAAGGGGGCAGTGGGCAAAAGTTGGAGGAAGAGATGGATTCCAGTTGCTTTTTGGGGGAGAAAAAGTCTCGGGGTGGTGATCAAATGTTGGAACAGTTTGAGAGAGTCTGTGGAACTTTCACCCTTGGAGATGCTCAAAACTTGATATGAGCAACCTGATCCAACTACAAGGTTGGATTTCTTATCAAAGTTAGTCCTGCTTCGAGTGGGGGGTTGGACCAGATGAATTCCTTTATGCTGAAATTATCTTGTGATTCCAATTGGTTTGCTCCTATCCTCCAGTGAGGGACAGTGAGTAGATAGTCAGCTTTGGTTGGGGTAGTGAGTGAGAAGTCCGTGCACTTCTGCGCTTAGGGACTAGAAGAGGAGTTGCTCTTACTGCCCTCTTCGTTATATAGCCAGCTAACATACAGTTTGCAAAACAGAACGGAAAATAGACTCCAAATTGTCAAGTAACAAACTTTTTTTTTTTTTAAAAAAAAAGCTCACAATATACTAAATGAATATCATAATCACTCAGGTGTCTCACAGCGTTTTACACAATACCTGGCATAATAGAGCCTTCAGCTATGCCTCCTGAGTGCTGGCGGTTGCATTTTTGTAACCATAATCCTGAACTACTAATAATAGTGCAACTTTTACCATAATAATGCTTGTGCTCTCTTGAATTTATGTACCAGGAGTATTGGGTCTAAAAATTTGGGGGTTAAAAACTTTTAAAAATATCTTAAATATATATCTCTTAAATGTAACTCAAAATAGCCTTGCCAAAAATTACTAAAAATCAAAGCCAAACATACTTGTTTCCTTACCATGATTTTTCCTTTTATTTTTCATATCATTCACTATTTAGATTATAAAGAGATGTGGCTGCGTGGACCAAAAGGGACTGGCATTGGTGAGTTCAGGATTCCTCACAGTGTAACAGTGGATTCTTTTGGACGGGTAAAGATTAAAAAGACTTTTTTCTTTTCTTTTTTTTCCCTTTTTTTTTTTTAACTGCAGAGTTGTTTACATGTGTTAGAATAATAATGTTGAGGTGTGTTATTTTATGTGGCTCTCAATTTGCAGTGTGATAGCAGCCTGAAGTTTCATACAAAAGATCCTACTGAGGAAACTGGGTTCCAGCTTAAGAAGTTGATTCTGATCAGTTACACTGCCTTAATGCCTTAGTGCCTTAATCTGCTTCAGATCTGACTTTCACTGGATAGCTTAGCTAAAAGATATATTACTGACTTGAGCTAATTCTGTTGGTGCTGACAGCTGATTCTGACAGAACTCAGGCAGGAAGAAATGGAGGGAAATGGTAACTATGAGGTGAAGAGTGAATGTGAGTGCATATATCCACAGACAGCAGTGATGGCCTAAGATCTTACTGCCTGGGTTAGAAACCATTGTCAGTGCCAAAGAAATCTGCAAGAATGCTGTAGTAGTGTAAAAAGTAAGAGTAGTAGAGTGAAAAATAGTGAACTAGACCTGTTTATTCTCTTTCAGGTGATATCCTGAGAAAAGTATAAAGTTTACTTATCTGACTGAGAGGCTGTCAACAGCCAAAGTTTCAATGATTGTAGTAAGTGAGATGCTTTAATTGGTACTGTGCAGTGGTGTTGCCTAGCTTGTTTGTGAACCTAGTTAGCATAGGGTGAGACAGAAAGAAGTCAGTCCCCACCAGGCTGATCAGACAAAACATGCTGAAAGCGCCCTTGGTTTTTAAGCTGCCCAATGTTTGTAGTAAGATTAGGCATTTCATAGTTATTTGCAGATGGAAATCTCGTACACCTAGGTCATGAAATGAGACTACTATGTTGAAAAATCGAAATTGTCAGTGGGTGACAAAGTGCTGTTTTTACAATTAAAATGTGTGTTCTTTTGTATGTAACCTCACTTTTTTTGTGCTTAACAGGTATGGGTTGCGGACCGAGACAATAAGAGAATCCAGGTTTTTGATAAAGACACAGGGGAATGGCTGGGGACTTGGAGCAGCTGTTTTGAGGAAGATGGTCCAAGCTCTGTCAGGTATTATTGAACAGTTCTTCTGGAAATACAGTTACACAAGTGTGCACTTTTACTGGGGAAGTGCGAGGTTGGTATATAGTGCCTGATCAGAGAGCCAACCAACTTAAGCTGGGCCCTGATCTTAGGAAAGGGTTTGCATAGGTGAATCCTGTCATGACATGGGAATGCTGACAGCATAACAAGATCCATGGACTGGGAACTTAATTTTGATATTTTTTTTTCTGAGTAGGATTTTGTTGTCCCTAGTGTTGCATCCTTAGCAAGAAGAAAACTTATCTTGACTGAATTTTATGTAACATAATCTGACTCAAGGAGTAGCAGCACTTAAAGCAAAGCTTGCAAGTAAATTATTTACTTTTCACCACAGTTAGTTTGTTTAAACCCTTATCTTAAGAAAGTGTTTTTTGGTTTGTTTCATTTAAAAGTTCATGACTTTGTGTTAACAAAAGACATCATATGGAGCTCATTATTCAACAGTGTGTTTCTGTCTTTGTCATAGATTTACTCCCAACAACAAGTACCTGATTGTAGCTCACCTGAACGTCAGCCGGTTATCCGTGTTGGCAGCCCCGCCTGTTGGCACTATTGGGAAGTGTGTGATAGTGACCACGATCCAGCTGGCGGATGAAACCAAACCGCACCTGGTGGACGTAGACATGAAGAGCGGAGCAATCTACGTGGCGGAGATTGGAGCCCAGCAAGTGCAAAAATACGTGCCCTTAAACTGATATTTCTCCACAATTCCCGTGGCACAAGCTGTATGGCATGTAAGACCTATGATCACATTCTCTCAAGGTTTCTGTACCTTGTGTTTGCTTAAGACAAGTGCAGAACATTGTGCTCACAGATCTCTAGGGCTCGCAAACTGCCCTTATTTGGAGAAGTACTTGGTCTTTGGGCTGTCACTTGGTTTAGTGACACTCTGTTTTAATGCTTGGATTTGGATAATTTCTTTAATAAGTATCTTTCTTTTATAAAATTTTATAAACACAGCTGTTATTTTTCAGTGTCTAGAGTTTCATCTTGAGACTCCTGACCCATCCTGTATGCGTTGCAGAGCTGGCTGGGAGAAGTGGTCTAAATAGTTGATTTCCTGGGATTTCCTCATTTTAATATTTCTTCATATGCTTAGGATCTTTCTGCCAACACTACCCAATACTGAATAAAATGTGAAATTATGTTGAATGAGATGCTGCTGGATATTGATGTCAGTGTTGACACTTGCACTTTTTTAGGTGGTTAATGAAATCAGCATTGAAATCAAAGCTTTTAGCCCCAGCTAAAGCAGTCAAGTTTGTAACAGGTTGAAGTTAAATTGCTATCAGGCACTTCAGACTAAATTCAAAGTGTGTGCAGAGCAGCCAAATACCTATTCGTAACGAAATTAATTCTTGATCAGATTTGATTTTTATCAGTGTGAGTTTTCTGTTGCCCAGATTACATAGTGGAACATATTGAAGTTCAAGTCATTTAAATTCCTCCAGATAAACAAAGCAGAGTTTGCTAGGAAACTTACCCAGTTTTAGTGACCTGGAGACATATAATATTCTGCTCTACTTACTGTCTTGAGGCTCAGTCAGAAACAGCAATGAGTCTGTTATGGGAAAACTTAGCTGCTTCATGTTCTATCCTTAGATTTCGCTTACCCTATCAGCAACAACTCCATTAAGGTCTTTTAATAAGTTTCTCCTTTTGAAGGAACTTATCCCAATATACTTGCAGATGTCTCCATGCTCTGTTCTGAAAAGGTACTGTCCAGCTCATTTTCAGATTTTGTGCATTTCCATACATATAAATTGCTCATTTTTACATTGCTCACATACAGTTCAGAACTCAAAGTGCACAATTACTTTGCATTTCTCAATAAGAAAACTAGTTCAGAATCCCCCTGGAGTGGGAATAGGAGAGCTCTAACTTTACATTTTGTATGTTCATTTCACAGCATAGCAAGAAAATGGGGGTAGGAAAGTGGGGTGGAGGAAAGGACATGCAGGCTAGACTGAGGCAGAAATGTCTCATGGTTAACAAGTGAGTTCCCCTCTAAAGCTGTGGACCCACATCTTATTCATGATCCTTATTCATCAACTTACAGTGAAAGCTTTTCTAAATGCTTGGGAGGATCTAAAACCATCCTTATTCATCAACTTACAGGGAAAGCTTTTCTAAATGCTTGGGAGGATTTTTGTGTTTCCACACACTTACTCTACCAGAGGGACTATTTCAAATGCCAATTACAGGCTAAGAGGCATTTTATTTTTTTCTGCTTTTCCACTTCCTTAGGTAGGGATATGGGAAATGTAATTACTCTGAGAAATAACCACTTGAGTGAATCTCATCAAAAGCAAATGCGTCTTAATTTGGTGAGTTTCAACGTGTGATCTACAAATTTCTTGGTCAGTAGGTGAGAAAGCTGACCAGGAAAAGCAGATTTATGTATGTTATGGAAAGTAATTTAGCTGTGGAGCTGAGCTTGATGTCCTGATTTCAATGCAACTATAGATTGATTTAGTAGTTACAAACGCTTTGCTATTGCCTATATCCGCAATAACAAAAGTAGATCTAACCTGTCTGCCTTTGTGCCAATCTGAGAACAGGGAGTTCAGGGTTATGCACTAGCAAATGTATTCATGTGGTGCTCACTGGGAGCTTGTAAGCCTGATTTATTAGCTGAAAAGGTAGCAGTACTTCCTCGACAACTAATGGGCTGGCTCCGAACAGTTTTGCAATGTGTTGTGTGGATTTCCTGATTAGGTCTCCACTAGCTCAGGGATCTCTGCCAGGTGTCATGTAGCTACTTCTTACCTGCATGATGTGATTAAAATATATATATATATGTTTGAGCATATCTTGGTGGTATAAGGGATCCAGATACACCCACTCTTCCTCAGCACCTCCCCTCCTTATTTATTTGCTGTTTGTCACATCCATTTAAAACAGGGCTAGAAGCTCTCTGGGAACAAGCTTCTCTGTCCAGTAAAGGACTGGCATACTTGTGGATGTCAACAAGTAACATTTAGGTCTGATGCTTTTTATTTACCCGATTGCCTGATTTCACTGAAGTAGACTGTGGTGCCAAAATATCTACGTTACGTGTAGGCACTGGGTGTCTGTGGTAAGAAAGGGAATTCATTAGTGACTAGTATGAGACGGACTCCTTTTCATCTCTGTGTATATGAGCAGCCTGAGAAAATGATTGATTTGTGCATTTACTTGCTATTTTTCTGAGGGTTTTTTTGTATATGAACTTGAAACTGATCTCTCAAAAATTACAGTGGAAAAACAAATTGTTAAAATAAATTTAGGATTTCTGAAGGTGAAAGTTTTGGGCTCTTTATTTCTGTTCTAATGTCAAGACATTTTATTGCAATGGATTACTTTTCTAAATATAGGATCTGTAGCACTTGAATTTTAGTATCAGAAGTTATTAAATACTAACACCAGATCTAAAATTTGTGTTGTCTTTAGACATTACTATTTCTGGGACCCATCTATTTCGCATCATTCCGATTTATGTATTAAACAATGTACGTAAGTCTCCCTTGCAGATATTTTCCTTGGAGTAGTTAATAAAATAGGATGATGGCTTACATAAGTGCCTGGTAGTTAAATAGTAATGGTAACTTTTTATAATAATAAGGAAATTAAAAGCAAACCAACAAAAACACTCCTTAATATAGAATCAGGATTTATTTCCAGAAGAGTAATTTATTTCAGTTTAAGATCAAGAAGGGACTTGTTTATGGGATAGAAATACTTGCACAAGAAGAAAATGTTCCACTGACCAGTGTTTGCTGAACAAAGAAGAAAACGTAAAACTATGTAATTGCTAGAATCTAACACATTTTAATGTAATTATGAGATGCCAATATTTAAGTTAGACAAGTTATCGTTGTTGACAAGTTATTCAGCATGGATTCACCAAGGGGAAATCATGCTGGACTAACCTGATAGCCTTCTATGATGGAAGGACCGTCTGGATAGATGAGGGGAGAGCGGTGGATGTCGTCTATCTCGACTTCACCAAGGCTTTTGACACCGTCCCTCACAACATCCTCCTGCGTAAGCTCTGGAAGTGTGGGATAGATGAGTGCACAGTGAGATGGATTAGGAACTGGCTGGATGGCAGGGCCCAGAGAGTGGTGATCAGCGGTGCAGAGTCTAGTTGGAGGCCTGTAGCTAAGCGGGGTCCCCCAGGGGTCAGTCCTTGGTCCAGTCCTGTTCAATTTATTCATCAATGACCTGGATGAAGGCACAGAGTGCTCCCTCAGCAAGTTTGCTGATGACACCAAACTGGGAGGAGTAGCTGATACCCCAGAGGGCTGCGCTGCCATCCAGAGGGACCTGGACAGACTGGACATCTGGGCGGTGAAAAACCTCATGCAATTCAACAAGGCCAAGTGCAAGGTCCTGCACCTGGGGAGGAATAACCCCAGACACCAGTACAGGCTGGGGACCGACCTTGTGGAGAGCAGCTCTGCGGAGAAAGACCTGGGTGTCATGGTGGATGACAAGGTGACCATGAGGCAGCAGTGTGCCCTCGTGGCCAAGAAGGCCAATGGGATCCTGGGCTGCATTAAGAAGAGCATCTCCAGCAAGTCGAGGGAGGTGATCCTGCCCCTCTACTCAGCCCTGGTGAGGCCACATCTGGAGTATTGTGTCCAGTTCTGGGCTCCACAGTACAAGAGGGATGTGGAGCTGCTGGAGAGAGTCCAGCGCAGGGCTACAAGGATGATCAGGGGCCTGGAACATCTGCCCTATGAGGAGAGGCTGAGGGAGCTGGGCCTGTTCAGCCTGGAGAAGAGAAGGCTGAGAGGAGACCTGATTAGTGTATATAAATACCTCAAGGGAGGGAGTGCAGAGGACAGGGATGGTCTCTTTTCAGTGGTGGCCACTGATAGGACTAGAGGAAATGGCCGGAAACCGAAACATCAAAAATTCCATAGGAACTTAAGGAAAAATTTCTTAACAGTGAGGGTGACAGAGCACTGGAACAGGCTGCCCAGAGAGGTTGTAGAGTCTCCTTCTCTGGAGATCTTCAAAACCCGCTTGGATGCAGTCCTGTGCCACGTGCTCTAGGTGACCCTGTGTGTGCAGAGGGGTTGGACTAGATGGCCTCTAGAGGTCCCTTCCAACCTTGAGCATTCCATGATTCTATGATTCTATGATATTTGACACATCCAAGTGAAGGAAAGTAGAATATTCCAGCTTATGATGTCTCCAAACTTGCATTTTAGTTATTTACTTATTTTTAATTGATCCCTACCTTTAAATATGTACTGCATTGTGAATTGGAATTATGTTCCTCAGAAGTCAAACCAGGTCAGATCGTAAGAATTACTAATACAGGTCATCTCTTTATATATATATATATATATACACATATATACATACATATATTTTCCTCAGCGATGGTCACAAATCATTTTTTCTAGGTATTATGTTATCGTGATCAGGAATTGATTAACTATATCTATTTGGTCAAAATAAAATAAATCTGGTAACTTTTGTGCCAGGAAAGATCAATTAAGTGAGGCTGAACTAGCTCAGTAAAATCTGGAGGGGAAGGTGCATGGAGATAGTTGTGTGTCTGCTCATTCCTGTGAGTAAAGTCATTGCATTAAAGTGACTTTGCACCTTTTTGATGCATAATGCTGTTAGTTTATACTTACTTTCTTAACAATTTGTAACCAGAGGAGCCTTCACGAGTGATCTCTTTGTAGGTGGAGAGTGAGGAAGTTTATGGTCACTGAAGTTGCTTGTTAGAACGTAAGAGGGCACCAA